CGGGCGAGCGGGGCGAGCGGGGCGCGCGGCGGTTGCTCCGGTTACTGTCCCGGCTGCGAGCGAGGGATGCTCTGACGGACGGACGCACGGACGGACGGACGGACGCACGGACACGGCCATCACCCTCGAGGAAGGCAGGTGGCGGTCGGGCCGCTGCCGGGGCGCGCAGCACGGGACCCCGGGCCGTCTTTTGTTGGACCAGGACCGCCGGGCAGCGTCGCCAGCACCCCGATCCTGCCTACCGAGCCCCCGCTGCTGCTGCTGACGAAGGCGCGGTTGCAGCCGGGAGAGCGGGCGAGCGGGCGAGCGGGCAGCAACGCTCGCACCTCTCAGCCCGGGAGAGAGAGAGAGGGAGGGAGGGAGAGGGGGACCCGTGTGTCGCTTGCGCTGGCCGGATGAAGGCAGGCTTCCAATGCCTCTCCCTAAGTCCGGGACAAGCCCAGATCACGTTTGCATCCTCCATGGTTTCAAAGAACTGACCTCGTCGAGAGCCTGACTCGTGAGCCTCAGACTGTTGGCACGCAGGAGGAGTTGGGCCAGTTGTCCCCGGGACCCTTTGGAGAAAAGCTCATTTTAGTCACCCAAAGTCCTCCCGAGGAAATCAAGACCATCACCACCCCACCACCACCACCCCCCCAAAAAAATTAACAATAACAACAACAAGCAACCCCCAAACCCTCATCCTTGGCCACCAAAGAAGCCTTGTGAGCCATGTGGACTTTCCTTGGCATCGCCACCTTCACCTATTTCTATAAGAAATGCGGGGACGTCACCCTGGCCAACAAGGAGCTCCTGCTGTGCGTGCTGGTGTTCCTGTCCCTGGGCCTGGTGCTCTCCTACCGCTGTCGCCACCGCAACGCAGGCCTCCTGGGGCGCCAGCAGAGCGCCGCCGGCGGCTCCCAGTTCGCCGCCCTCTCCGACATCCTCTCGGCTTTGCCTCTCATCGGCTTCCTCTGGGCCAAGTCACCCCCTGAGTCAGAGAAGAAAGAGGAGCCGGAGTCCAGTAAGGTGAGCCGGCCCCACGGTGGGCAAGGGAACCGCATCTCAGTTTAAACTTAAGGCCGAGGCCACTGGAGTTGAGGGTTTCATTGAAAGGCTTGGAGGCGTCAATATTCTCATTTAGTTGATTTTTTTTTTATTTTTAAAGTTCCCGGTGTGCTATGGCTACGACCAAGAGCGTTTGTTTCCTTTGGTGTTGCTGCCTGATGCTTAGGCGAGGGCTTGGGTACTGATTTGGAGGAGGAGAGAATCAAACCAGTGGGGCTTTTATCAAAATCCTTGGAAAAGGGTGGCGTCTGTACTTTACAGGAGAGAACTGTGTGGCAGGTAAGGCCACTTAGAAAAGTGACAGCTGACTGAAGTGACTGAAGACTTGGAAAAGCAATACAAGCGCTCCACACTTGAGAGGCTTGGGCGGAGAGCCTAACCCCAGGCTGGTCATGGAAGCAGTGAATGAACCATTACAGTCAGTCAGGTCCCAAGGCAATAATAATTGATGACCGTCCAGTGTCACAGACTGATGTTATTACTGTCATTACTGCCTCGGGAAGATGGAGGCTGATGGGGGGATGGTACAAGCCAGACAGTGTAGGGCCTATCGGCCATGGGCATTTGAACTTTCCCCCCCAAGAACACCGGAAAGACTTAAGGGTGAGAGTAACGAGGCTTGATTTTTAAATATAATAATAATAATAATAAGGATTTTGCTGTGAGACTGTCAGGGTTCCCAGCCTGGCGTAGTGGCCAGGTGGAACGAGTTACCCTCAAAGCAATGCTCTATGTTGTCATGTCCATAGCACGGATGAGCAAGGTAATAGAAGAAGGGCACTTGGCTCTCAAGTTGGGCTCCCACTTCTGGCTGTGACACTTTGAGAATGGGTTGAGTTCCTGAATCAGTTTCCTGTTCTGCTGGATGAGTGTGTCACCACCATCGCTTGTGGTTAAGTGACTTCTCGTTTTCAGAATACCTGGCGTGTAACCATCAGGTAACTAGCTGTTGCCACTAGGGTAAGGTTGGAATTTAGGCAGCAGTGACAATCCGGTGGCTTGGTGGTTGCGGGTTGGAAGTGAGGTTTGTTTCTCAAGGTGAAGACTCTGGTGTTTGTATTTTAGAGGACTCCCCTTGGGACTCAGTTCTAGTCCAGGTGGCTGGGGTACTGTCACTGTGCCGCGTGGAGAATTTGTGGGGTAGGAGAACTGGATTATCAGCTGGCAAGCGGGTTTCGTTTTGTGACTGCTTCAGGCTTTCACCTTACCTGGAAACGGGGGAGCTGCCAGAGTGTGTGGGGTGCACACTGGTGCACACGGACCATGGGAAGCCAGTGCTGACTGAGAACCACTCCTGTGGATGCTCAGCCTGTACTTGTAGAGTATTTGTTCTAGGCCGAGTCTTTGAATCTCACTATAGACGTTTATAGTGTCTGACCTGATGTGGATAGATTCTAAGTATGTCCATATAACAGCACTTTCTAATTTCTCTGTCCAGAAAAGCGGGTATATGTTTCTATACGTTTCTATTTAGCCAGTATTTTGATAGTGGTTTTTATATTTGGTCTGGATTTAAACACATACTGTTGATTTGGTCTAATATTGTTTGGGGTCTAGCTCTTGCTCAAGATGTCCAGGAGTTCATGAGGAAGGAATATGACTTAGTGTTATCCTTTTTGTTCAACAGTGCAGAAAAGAAACCAGCGTGTCAGAAACAACACTGACGGGGGCCGCTACCTCAGTAACAGCATCTTCTCTGAATGATCCGGAAGTTATCATCGTGGGGTCTGGTGTCCTTGGGTCGGCTTTGGCGACGGTTCTTTCCAGAGATGGAAGAAAGGTGACGGTAATCGAGAGAGACTTAAAAGAGCCAGACAGAATCGTTGGCGAGCTTCTGCAGCCAGGTGGTTACCGCGTCCTTAAAGAGCTGGGCCTCGGAGGTAGGTTCACCTGACCTAAGTGCCCTGCACTTTAGACGATTCTGCTTTCCTTCCCGCCTTATGAACGTTCCGTCTGCTAAGAATGATAGCGAAGGAGGAAAGAAACATTTAGTGGTATGAAAAGAAGAGGCTACCCAGACATAATGAGAGAACGGAGTGTCTACAGAAGTGTACCATCAGAAACGAAGGTGTTCGGTTTAATAAGCCGAGCTCTCATTCCTACAGTGGGTGATCACGTTCCGGGTGTGGGGTTACTGCCTCGGATCTTTGATTCGTTTACTGAGCCAGTGCCTTTTAAGGACTTGTTGCATTCCCTTGGGAAGTGTTTGTTTGCCGCCTTGGACTGAGGGTTTCACGCGCACTGATGATGAAGGCAGATCTTCTGAGAAGTAGAGCCCAAGAGACACTCAGCTGTGAGGGGGAAGCCACCTGCTCGGAAGGGGTAGAAGGGGGGTGTGTTGGTCAGAGGCCTTGGTGCTGGAGCTGGAGCGCCTGGGTTTGAGTGTCAGCTCTGACTTTGAAGAGCTGTATGGCTTTGCCTGGTAACTACCTGTAAAGCAAGTCCCATAGCCATGTTTGTTCCTGCATTTATAAGAAGGATATCTGAAGGCCCTCTGCTCCACATATGTGAGGATTAGGTGAATCTGGACGTGCAGGCCCTGGAGAACCTACCGGGTGCATCGCAGGTGCCGTGTTCTTGTCTGCTGTTTTGTGGAGGGAGCTGAAAAGGAGGCCTATCTAGACAGCAGTGGGCTGAAGAGGGAGGCAGAGCGGGGTCATCACACGCAGTGGGCAGGGATACGACGTGACACCAGTTTACACCCAAGACAGTGGCTGCAGCTCCTCAGCAGCTCCTCAGTTGACACAGCCTCAGTTGTAGCACGTGTTACACGGTGGCTCAGTGTAGCCATCTGTGTTTCAGTCTGACTGAAATGTCCCCCCCC